AACTTTCCAAATGAACACTTTTATATGCCTCAATCTGAAGTCTAGCGCTAACCATGTGAATTTAAAAAGCACAGCTGGTTTTTGATTTTTTAATTATTATTTTGCCATATTAAACATAAAATAACAAAGATAATGCACCTGATTTTCCTGAGTGTAGGACTTCGGGAAGAGTCTGAACCAGGATGGTAGCACCAATGGTGGAGTGGTCAGTGTAGTTAGTGGCTGACCTACGCCGACGACTAACTGCAGCCTCAAAAGGGCAGTCCGGCGCCTAATTCGTGAAATTTTTTATTATTATTTCCAACACAAAACTATCCTTTTTTTTACTGGATAATGATATCACTTACCGGTGACTAACATATCACTATCGTGACCTACTGTTTAATGCAAACTACTCTAAACATGGTCTGCGTTAATTTTGCTAAGTAATAAATGATACCATAAATTCGATAAATGTACACATTAAAATAATAAATGAAAAAAATGCAAATAAAACAAATAAAAAATATTTCTTACATGGGTACATTTAAGATTTTCTGCATCTGGACAAAAGTCCACCTCGCATTCGATATGTAGCGTGTTCACATCTGGGAACCGAAAACATTCGAACGTGCCGGACTGTATGATGGCTCCATCTAGAGTTGGATCTGTGTGATGCTGAGAAAACCCTGTCACAAGTACAGCTGCTGGTGGATTGTCTGTAACAGGGCAGCTAAACGGAAAAGAACAATTGAGTTTTTAGTTGGTGACGCGTATTTTGTTTCAATGTGAAGAATTTCACTTTCTCTCTTTCTTTCTCTTTATCATTTTGACATTGAGTTGGTTATTATATGTTAATGTAAGAGGCTTGCCCTTTTGTTAAACCTAGTTATATCTGTGATTTAGTAATGAGTGGGAGATCGATGTATGTCTGCATTGTTTACCTATTTTGAAGCAGCTGTAGATATGACCGCTTGGAGATACTTGGGGCAATAACGCAGCTGATGGGGTGGATACCTTTGGCATCTGCAAAAAGCACGCAATAACGAAAAACATTTTCAAGAGAACGTTGGTGATCGGGATAATCTTTAACGAAAAACGGGGTAATTATCTGTAATCCGATAGCTGAAATATGGAGGCAATAAATAAAAAAATGGATTTTATGTGCTCAATTTGTGATCATTTTGGCAATTGGCGCCACTATCCATATAACATAATAATATACCTACTACCAGAGGGCGTTAGTGTGATGCGTATAGCCACTGGTCGTCCCATAACACAAGAGATGACAGGTTCATCAAAGGGAAGACCGCTTGCGTTAACTGTCATGTCAACTAGATCCATCTTCACCTGCTCTGAGATTTTATTAGCTGCCTCTTGGATATATTGCCTAAAATAATCATTTTAATTTATGAATGTGTAGGAAGACTGATCAAGAGCTGAATGGGAGAGGACGAAAACTACTCCTAAGCGTCTTCCACAGGCCGCTTTATTTATACTCCAGTAAAGCAATTTTTTTCTTTTGTAGAGGAGTAGGAATTTGCCAAAAAATAGTTGAATCATCGAAAAAAATCCACTCGCACTTGCGCAGCAAACACCTGCCTTCTACACCACTCAGTCACACCAAACGCAATGGTGCCACACCAAACACAATGCTGTTACACAAAATACATTATTTTGTTCTTTGCAGTACTTACAGCCTCTGTATGGACATTCCTTCCCTCATCACGGTCTGTGTGGTTGTCACGGTTTCACAGGAGAGCAGAAAGGCGTAGTCGTGCGATGTCTCTATCTTCGGACTGCGGACCGCGAGGACGGTAACTGTGTATGGGGTTTCAGGCATGCCGTCACCCTGTGGAAACAGTATAGCTTGGTTAAAGAAAAGGACTAAAGCAATGCAGGTTTAGCCCCCTGTGCTGTCACATCTGAAGACGTAATTTATTACACCTAATACAATTTTTAAAAAAGTGTTTAACTTAAAAGAGTTAATCGTCGTACAAGAGTCGCTATTCATATAACATAGAACGTCCACCCTACATTTCAAATAGATAATTAATGCCGTGACGATGGTTAAAAAAATACTAAAAATGTTTAAAACCCTCACCATGATCCCACACTCGTTCTGAAAGGAAGCGTTCAGGACCAGTTTATGCGGGTTATAGATTGAGCCATTCCCTTCCTTGGCTACGCAGTTCTCTATGGATCGTTTTCCCTGCACGTACACGGCGCGGATGGTCACGTCCTCGCTGTCCGTCACTGACACTACTAGCTCGTCCGGATTGCGCGAACAGGAAAACGAGGCTGCAAGCATAAACAAATACATATCCTTCTTATGTTTTGTGGGGTTAGGGCAGGGCGGGATCATTGTATGTTCGATTTCTTTGATTTATACAACGATCTACTTGACATATTTTACTTCAACGTCATTATGAAAGTATCGAAAATGTGGGCGCGCGCACAGAGACAGAGAGAGAGAGAGAGGCGGGGGGAAGGGGGGAGAAAGAGAGATGCCATAAAATTTAAAAGATAATTTAGGCTGGTTGAATTCTTGCACAATAATATAGTATCGTATTTCAGGCTAAATCTAGAACACTATCATGCAAGAACTGTCAAGCACCGTCTCTAGTGCGAATATTAACATGAAAATCTTATAAAAAGTACAAAAATGAAAAAATTGATCACTTACCTCTCGGTGCAATGACTTCTGCCCCAGCTTGGCATAACTACAAAAACGAATACTGAGGAATAAGACACGAGGTATTCAATTGTGTCGCTGCTAGCGCTGATACATACATCGATGTGGGAAATACTGAAGGGAAGCACCGAAGGCAAGTAGTTGAAAAAAGCGGGACAGATAGGCCGACATTCATTATGCAAGGAAAGGCACAGGTACATGGATTGTCAAGCTACTATATAAAACATGAAATGATTAAACTGTAGGTAAATCCTTTGTAACTTACCTTACACGCGGTTCCAACATCGACTTCCGTGGCGCGACTTGTCCACATCATCTGTTGCAACAGAGACACAAAACCTCTCAAACATAATTTGTATTACTGAAAATTTGCTTAAAATCCATAGGATGCTTAGCGTATCCCTCATAATAAAATAAAAGAGAGAAAAGGAGAGGGATGTGGTTTAGTTTTTTCCCAATATTTTGAATGAATAGACAAACATAAACTGCAGTCAAATAGCAGGGGAAAGTGTACACTTTTCGCATGGTGTTAAACATGTGTTGATCCTACGCAAAGGTAAAATTGCTTGGGTGAAGGTTATGTTGAAAAAGCAGTTAAGTTCTACAGATCTACCAAAAAGCACAAAAAGACGGTTTGGTTTTGCTTAAATAAAAATGTGAAAATGTATCGCACACCAACAGCAGCACCCAATACATCAATAAGCGCTAGTCACCGCCACGGTCATCCCCATATCAAATACAGTGATTGTTTTCGTAATGTTGTTGTCTGTCGTACATGGTTACCATAACCTTTTTTATGTATTCACAGAATTTCAAACCTAGAGTTTCTGGATAATGCAATCAGATAGAATAGTCCTACCATGTATACCAGTGCCATATACACGCACACACAAGCACCAACTATGAACACACTGCTTGACCATATTCGAAATAAACGAGCACATTCCTCGAGAAAGGAAAAGTCTTACCAACAATATAGCTGTGAATGCAGTTAGAAGTATATCTCCTCGCGCCATGGGTTCGAATAGTTTGCAAACAACGAAAAACACCATTTGAACCAACCGACTGAACTGAAAGAAAGATTTATAGACGGAAAGAAATCTTACATGCATGATGCATATGCCTTACCCTCACATTGAAATGATACAAAATCAGTCAGTTGTGGCTATAAATCAGTAATGACTGTGATCCATGACTACCTGGATACGCCGCATACACAGAACATAGAAAGAAGTATCTAAAACTTCCTTACATTTGAATCGGAACGATAAATCGATTTTCAAACAAATTTAACTGATCTGAATGGAGCATCAGCATCTGAAGAAAGTTCATTAAAACCCTTCAAATGTAAGAGTTGCCCCATTCAAATAGACGTTATATCTAGAACGCTACAAATGAGTCGATAAATGATATTTAAGGAAGGAAATAAGATAAACTGTTCAAAGTTACCTGTTTCAATCCGTCCATCCACACATACCGACTGAGCAATGAAAAGACCGTCTCTTCGCTGTTCACCTCTTCGTTTAAACCAACCACGGATACCGGCATTACATGCATTAACTACCTGGGATAATTAACGCCTAAAGAACTAATTAGTGCCCGAACCACTAAAAAAACGGCATCTTTTACTTGGCTGAGACTTCGGTCCTTAGGGCTATGAAGTATTTTACATACCTGCACCTTTGACATTAACTTTCCTTTGACTTGGTAACTCCGGGGTTTATTGAGGCCACTCTATTATGTCATTAAACATGAATATGAATTATGTGTCATAGATATTCGTATATTCCTCGGTATTGCAGCACTTTTTATACAGTTGCTTGAAGTCGGGTTGTTAATTTCGCGATTAAAGAGTATGTAAAATTGTGAACAATTTCAATAACTTCAATTGCCTAAATTCACTTATAAATAGCGTAATATAAAATAATTAGGTGATAAAAAGTGATTTAATTTTGATTCAGTGTACATATAGGGCGGTTTCCCTCTAAGGAGACAGGCGTATTTTCCCATGCGTAGCTCTAGTAACAAACATAGCTCCGGAAATGTGCTATCTAATTGATAGAAAGAACTGATACCCCATCTCTTCCCAATAAACTCAAAGAAACGAACTTTCATGTCTGATTTTGATTTGATTTCTAAAACGTAAAGATATGCGTACGTAAAAAAGTTAAAATATTCCGATGTAGTAAAACCAACCAGGTGACGGTAACAGCCAGAGTATACCACTGTGCTTGTAGTAGTAGAATGCACACATTATATTCTTTCATTAAATCAAACCTAGATTATCAGGGATGGCGTTGTGTCGAGGGGACATGTTCTCAAAAGTATATTATGCTACGGGGAGTACGGAGAGGTCACGTTTGGATCACAGTCAGGTTACGCTAGTGTCAAGTGATTCTCACGGTTTATCTCGTAGTGACGCACTTTTGCTATATATGAAGCTTGATAATAAACTTGCTATTATAATTGTTTTCAGTTAAGGTCCTATATCCATTTTCAATCGTTTATTTTGCACATCATTTTTTCATAGAAGAAATGAATAGATTTTTAACGTTTCTATTACTCCACAGAAGAAAACTTCAGCATTATCATCCATACCTGGATTGATTTTTTCATGTACTGAACTAGAGAAAAATTATAACAAAGGCATAAAAAACTCAGAAAGTGTGTTTGAAAGCATATTTATATTGAAAGGCCATAAAACGATATGTATGCAAAAGACGTATTTGAACAATTAAAGCACAAACATACTGTATCAAAGAAACTTAAGATTGGACTTTTCAGGTTGAATATCCGTTGGGCGTTTGGCTCTAGTTATAATCACATCACAGTTCTCACAATTGATTTTCAACAATACATGTCCCAGTAAACTGAGTTAATTTTTTCGTCTTGGGTCTCTGGAAAGCTGAAATGTCGCCCCCTCTAGAACGGTTATTTCAATGTAATCAATACAAGGACTAAAGCTGCGTAGTTCTCCCTTAATTTTACTTCCTTCACACAGTGTTTCTGGTGTCGTACCGGGGTACCTGCAGATGTGATTGGCCTGAGTTATTTGGCTATATCAGAGTACCTCAAATACGACCACCATGGGTTAATGCAAGCCAAATGGTATAAAAATGAGCACTTTCAGTTTGTTCATGATGACGTCATAAAACGACGTAAAATGAATAATGTACGATCCAGCTGACGTCACGCATTAACAATAGGTCCCCCTTACAGCCATTCTCCGCCTTTCCTGCGAGACATACTTATGTTTGAGCAACGCTTTCTGAGATTCTAATGTCCTAAATGAGCTGTTTCTATAAGGACTAAGTTGTGGTAGTTCACGCCCAGAATTAATGGAAAACTTCGGGTTGTTGTGCCCTGAGAGGGAGTGGCTGTAAAGTTCATGACCTTCAGGGGCCCGGATGTGTGTTAACTCTCGCTCCCTTAGGAGCCAGAGCGGGAGTCCAGCCTTGGCATTAAACAGATTCTTAGTGGCCCTTTCTTTCTCCCCGCGGTCGATCTGATAGTGCATGTCTCCTATTTGCCAGGGGCTGAGACTCGGCAGACGGCCAGAGTGGGGCTGAACGAATCTGTGACGTTGGAGTCGATCTACCTCTGGCTGCTGGCGCCATCTGTGGTTACTCCAGCTGAGATAAGTTGACGTCATATCTAGAGGGTGTTATGCTACAGAAAAAAAACAAGTAAGTATTATTTCTTCATGAAAGACTCAGCGTGAACATCTTCATCTTTGTTGATAGATGTGATATCGGTAAATAAATGTTACTTTTTCTGACTGAAAACTTGTTAATATTATTAATATTAAAGTCTTATAAGCGTATATTAATTTATTAAAATATCTTGCATCAAAAGAAGCACCAGCGGGAAATCATAATAATAATAATTTTCTTCAACATATTCGTATAAAATTTATAGCTATTGGCGTCTTAACCAGTACGCGTTTAAAAAGAAATTTTCCTGCGAAGTTATTTATATTTCCTAACTCAGACCTTAAAGACGATAAAACCCGTCCAATAAAGGTTCCTGGAGTCGTTATTTTCTTGTGAAATGTCAGGAAAACATTTAATTTTGTTTCGTATAGAATTCATTATGTAGAAATGTAAAGTATCGAATTGAAGTGTAGGGGCGGGTGCAGCAATGAAACGTGAATAGGAGAAATTAAGTTTTTTTCCCTCGAGAAAAATCGATTTTGGCTGGAAAACCCCGTGTAGGTTACCTTTAATATGTAAATTCTAGCATGCATTTCGTATATTGTCAAAAAACCGTATAACCACCGAGCTCATTGGGTCTTTTTCATATTTCATACATATTGTGATGCAATCTTCCATTTCGTTCCTTAGCTTTTTGGTCAATTTAGATAATTAAATAGATTAACTAGATAAGCACTCCGAGAGCGCAGACCTCCGCCAAGGCAGCAAAGGTCCCACCCAATGCCGTTTCACCCCTAAATTTTCGATATTTTTTATTATTGATTATTGATTGATTATTGATCCGGATCACCACCAAAAACTAATCATCTGTTCCTTGGTCCACTTCTGACAGTTCCTGAAAATTTCATCAAAATCGGTCCATAACTTTTTGAGTTATGTTGATGACAGACAAACAAACAGGGGTTTGAAAGATAACCTCCTTGGCGAAGGTAATAAAAATTGATTCAGTTACAATCCTCGCAATATAAACTGCAAAAAATTATTTGTCTGTAGCATAAAAAAGTAATTTTTAAAAGATCACGATGAAATAAACGAAATTCATCGGCAGTATAATTTAGAATATGAAAAAATATGAAAAGAAACAAGATTCGACCCCCCCCACACACACACACACACCCACACACACACACACACACACACACACACACGGTACTTGTTTTGTTATTCAATCCATGTCTCCGTCCATTTCCTTCCCAGGCTGTCTCCAATAATTAACTAACATCTACATGCAGGTTTATTAGTTTGAGTATCATATCAGCGCACTTCATCCAGGCTGTGCATAAGACGAGTTTCTAATTTGGCTTTAACTATTATGAAGATATGCTTTGATCTACCATAATTTGAATGCAAAATCGGTCATATTGCAATACAGAGCACACGGTTTGTTTTTACTTGTTTGGGTGGGAGGGAAGGAATCTCTTTCCCAACATTATCATTATATTAACATCTATCTATTAGCAGCTCATTAAAGGCTTGGGAGTATTAAAAAGATATATAATTCTGTCAAAACTTGGTAAAACGGACGTGTTAATAGAAGAACGAATTGCGTCCTTTCTTTGAAATTTAGGTATACGATTAGTATGATTAGACCCTATATAGCTCATACGTAATGAATTAACGCCATGATAATTTCTAAACACAAATCTCAGACATAGCCAATATTAAACCGTGGATCTTGTGGTTTACTTTGATAGAAACATCATCTTTTATGAGCAGATTAATATCGGATAGCTTACCTGGTCACCCGACACCTCAAATCACGACAGCTCAGCTGCACGCTTTCTGCACATAGCAACTGTAAACAATACAGAAATTGCGACAGAGAAGAGTATGAACTAACTCCCCATCTCAACTAGCGCAGCTATATCATAAGGCTATCTAACTATATGTATATTTCTTTTTTAATCGATAAAGAGTTCTCATGACCGAAAGGAAAAGAATAACCCAAAAATAAGAGGCATCTTCGCGGGTTTTTATGTCTTGAAAAAAAATATTCGGTATCCATTCTGAAAAGGATCTGAATATGAAAATTAAAAAACGTGTTTTGCGATATTGATAGACCGATTTACACGGCGATGGCTTAGTGGTAGGAAAGCGTGAGGCATGGCTAATTTAGAATTTCTGACTGAATAAAAATTGCATTACTAGGCCTATTTACATTCTAAATCATATATTTTGTTTCTGTTTATTGAAAGGCTCGCCGTGTCTTTAACTGTATATTTTACCAATGATTAAAGATCAGTTTAAAATCTAATGATTTTCAAATAATGATGAAAATGCTAAGACCTTCTTCAACTTCATAAACAACGTAGAACTACTGAATAAATAAATAAATAAATAAATAAATAAATAAATAACAATGACTGAAGAGTATGGATGACGTCCAAAATAGCGCATGGTCTTATTGAGGAGTGTGTAGTAAAACACTTTATATACATAATCAAGAGCTCAATAAGGTATTTAAATTCTATGAGTTTTAATTGCTTGTTTATCAGAGTGCAAAATTTTAACCAGTTCACGGGATTCAATATTTTTTAATTGAACATACATTAAAAGCTGATCCTTTTATCAGATGGGTCCATTGTTTATACAGTCACCTCAACAAAAAAGTTATTTAAATAGAGTTTTTTCTGGAATAATCCGGGACTCGATATCTGTTTAAACAGTAAATGATTTCTGAATAAAATTTAGAATTAAAAAAGCAGCACTAACATGTTTTTACAACTGAGCTCATACCTGAATTACTACTGCAACAACAACAACAATCAAATTACTTGTCCTCAAAATTTTCAGCTGGATGCGCACAACCGGTGTTTACTTTTTGACAGGTGTGACCGGCATTTAAATCCACGTGCTCCTTATTTGGACGGCGATCAATTTCAGGTCAAAAGCCATGTCCCGTCATGCTTTGCGCCAGCCAATGTGTGCATGACTCTTTCCCGCGGAATCGACGAAGTCGGTCAAATATTAAGAAGCAAAATGCGACCAAAGAAGAAGGAAAAAGTCTCAAAGGAAGAGAAGAAGCCCCAATTTGAGCAAATCCAAGCCGATCATGAGTTATTCCTACAAGCATTTGAGAGTAAGTACAAGAAACGGGCGTAAATCGAAACCAAAATGGCCACGACGCCGACTCGATTGTTGTTTTTTACCCGTATGGGTAGCGATCGGCTATTTCTGTCCTTAATATACTGCAAACTTCAACACGTACCACACCCATCGATAGAAGTAGTGTATGGCTTTATAACATATTATTCATTGGTTTCAGAACCGACTCAGATCTACCGCTATCTGCGCACCAGGAACCTGATCGCGGTGAGTGCATTTCCCACCATTTTGTTATTTCATTGATAATGTTTTTCGCCGAATTTGTAGTAGAAAACAGTCGGATCTCCTTCTAATATTAACAGAATGTGTGTTAAAAATGACTTGGACATTAAACTGCCCCTTTTTGTCTTTCCAGCCCGTATTTCTCAACAGAACTCTCACTTACATGAAAGATCGGAATACGAGAACTAACAAAGACAGGTAAGCCCACTCTTTTGTTGACGAGAGCTGCTTGTCGATAATGGTTTTTCATTTAAGTAGTTCACATTTGTCTTTGTGTGTGTATCTCTCTGTCTGTAAGCGTGCACGCACGTGTATGTTTGTGTGTGTGTGTTTTAAAGAGAGAGACAGACAGAGAGGGAGAAAGAGTAAAGGGAGAAGGATGTTATGTTGAGTAGTTACTATTTGACCGGCAAACGAGCAAGTATAACTCACAGATATCAACTCAAAAACAGAAAAGGATGATTTCAATAAAAAGAGTATTACATTTTAAAATTACAAAATTATTTAATCACAGAGGTAGTGATATACATGGATTTACATCAGAATAATGATTTGTTTAAAAATTCAGTTAAGCAAAAGGTGTCACTGTGAATCTCATTACACAAAGGCAGTTATCTTGTTGAAATTGGTGGTGGTGGTAGCTGTTTTTTATTTCAGCATATTTAAAAGTGAGTTTAATCAAGTTTTCATTTACTTTATTAAGATTTGACAAACTAAATGTTAAGTGTTTGAAAGAAGGGTGTATTTCAAGAAAAATGCTTAGAGTTAATCTTAGTTGGAAAAACTTAACAAAAGATCATTTATGTTTTAGCTTTATAGGAAGTAAATTGGTTGCATTGTATATATTAAGTGGGTTATTTTTGACTATATGGTATTAATTAGACGGTTCTCATTCCATTTTCATCTATTTCTTTTAGCCTAAAAAACTAAATTTACCAAAAAATGACAAAAACTTATCAAATATTCTAATTTTCTTAGTCAGTGTGATATTTTTTGATCAGCCAGAAAAAAAATTTTGTGAAGCATTGGATGAAAAAAATCCTATTTGGCATTTGCTGAATATTACTATATGTACATATTTTACTACTGTAGATCTATAAAAAGAAAAAAAGATAACATTTTCAAGTTTAAACAAGTTGGCTTGATATATAAATTTGACTAAGCTTATTGTCTCAAAAAAGGAGAGCTTATAATACTGGAAGTGATTTACCTCCTTTTTGTCCTCTTTAAAAACCTTGTTTAGAAAAATCAAATATGGAAGACTTAGTTTCTTTTCAATTTAATATATTTCAATACTTGATCTATTTCTGTTTATAAGCATAGGTTTTAAAGGGCATTGTTTTCTTGAACTATGGTTTTTGAAGGAAATTTCATGGATTATGTAAAAAGTGAGGATATCTTTTCTGATCCATTTTATTATGCAAGTGTTAAACATTCTGATGATGCTGATCATTTGTGGTGGATCTTGTTTTTCAGTTTTTGTTTGACTTATTTCTGTTATTTTTCAAAGTAGGCAAATTGTAGACAAAAACATTGCACTGGATAAAAAAATTTTCCTCATGTTTTTGGATACTTTCCCCAATAGACTTATGCCAACAACTCGTTTTTCAATAATTTACGATTCTCTGCACAATCGTTTCCTAGATCAATTTACTCCCAAGTCATCATAGTAGATCACTTGATTCAATATTTCTTATACATTGACAAATATAGTTACACTGAAAATCAGTCGTAAAATTTTGATTTATTTGACCCAGATATTCTTCTGCCTTCTATTTAACAAGGTTCCTTTTATTGTATCAAGTATGTAGACTCCGGGCAGAATGTCCTCCTGTCCTTTGTACTATAGCGTATGTTTACAGTATGATACCTTAGAGTTGCTGACCAGAATTAATTACTTTAAAATTTTCCCTAGATGTTCTACTGGAAGCTAACATCCCTGGGGTAACTCCTGGCAGATTTTTGATTTTGACAAATAAAAAACAAAATTGCCAAACTAACGTAAATAGTGAATCGGCAAATGATTTAAGATTTTTTTTTTTTTTTTTTATCCAACCAAAGTTATAGGGTTTAAGAAAAATTCATTCATAAATACCATATTAGAATAGTTAAAATGACATAATAAGCACTGCTGAATGAATATTACTTTTCTATGTTTTTGTTGGACTATGTCAACTCTTCAAATCAGCATTTATTTGTTAAATATTAAGATCTAGCCAAATGGATTTTTAAATTGGACCAGTGAGAGATTTAACAGACATTTCGCTTTATTATTTGATTCATTTGTTTTCTTTTAGTCATACTAAATTCTTCCATATCCTGAAGACATTCTGTGTTAACTGCAGCTAGATATTTTCAAGCTGAGTGAAAACCTATTGGTTATTAATTTAAAAAGAGGGGGGAAAGATGTAAATCATCATCTAATGCATCATATGAATTTCAAATGGGTTAAAAGGCAAGCCTTCAACTAGAATAAGAAGGTTAACAGTTAAATTATCTGTAGAAAAGTGCATCAGTGTTCTCAAGAAGAATGAATTTTTTACCATACATAATATTTGATATTTATGAGATATTTGTATAGGTGACTATGCTGTTTGTATACATGAAGTATTAATTTTAATAAAGGAAGAGATCTTAGTCTGAGAGTAGTCCTACCATAATATTGGTGTAAATGTAAAAACCCTTTAAAATACCCATTAATTTACAGTTTTGATATTGAGTCATTTTCAGCTATTTGTGTATAACATAATTTGCTCTAAAATGAGCTCAGAAAATTTTTTATTTTTAACGAAAGCTGTTGTGTGGTAATTTAACTAAGAGATTAGATAAATAAAGATAAAGAATCATATGTACTTTTGGGTTCAGTTATTTATTTCATTGTTAACAATATTTGATCTGCTTCAATAATGTATTTTGCAATCCTTCTTGGAGAAAAAAAAGGTTTTTGGGGGGCTTAAATTTTTTTCTATTTTATTTAACCACAGAAAGCTATTTTGCCACTGAAAGTTGGGGTTGTTAGGTAGAGATAAGCAAATTTAATTATATTGGGGCAAACTGTAAATGTGTAATATTGTAGCACAACTTCAGAAAATATGAATATTTATGAATTTTCTCTCTCCCACCTACATTTTTTTTACTTTAAACTAGAGGCCAGCTGAATGCTGACATTATAATGCCTTACAAAAATTCTTGGTGGCCACAGTAGTCTTTGCCAGGGACATACCTGTGAATATTTTGTCAATCTGTTCTCCTTGAAGAGGGCATGTTTTGGTCCTTTTCTGTGTACTTGACTCACATTACGGGGATGGTACTGTCTAAGTAAAAGGAACCAAAGTATTTAGTTTCATTGGCTAAAAATGTGTAAATAGGTCTTTTTGAATGATTTTTGGTTGGGGAAAATTATAAGGACTTTCATGTCTTTTTCGGTAAATTAAATCTTTTTCGGTAAGTAAAACTGAAGACATGCAACATATACGATATCACCTTTCTGGTTTTGAAATGGTTTTTATTTTGGGGTGAGAATGTTCTTCCTTGTAGAGAATTCATGGATTGAATACTAGCTGGTTTTTGTGAAAAGTGTTGCCATTTAGGGTTTTCTTTCTTCTTTGACATTCTGAAACCCTGTTTATTTATATTTTTATGATTTATTTGGTTTATTTTAGGAAATGGGTCTCTTTTGTATTATGTAGAAGCATGAACATGAATGAATTTTTAGTTAATTTCTCTAACAGTAGCCCAAGTGACACATGAAAATTATAAAGAAATGTTTTTTATGAAATATCCTTTTTGTGTTATATTTAATATTTCTTTTAAGAATAACTTATTTCAGTGTTTGTTTAAGAAAAAAAATGAATGAGCTAGCTCTCCCACTCATAGAATTTATGTTTTGCTACAAGCCAGGGTTAGGTCTAAGAAAGGTTGGGAGTTTTCATTTCTTTCATCTCTTTCTCATTCTGTGTATATATGTGTGCTTATTCTTTAAGATAGACTGTTTGAAATAGGTACATCTTTGCAAAAAAAAAAAGAAAAAAAAAAAGAAAAATCCAAGCTCCTGGTGCGATGACAGGATGTATCATATGCACAAATCAACTGGCTGAGCATAAATGAGTTTAAGCTTAAAATAGAAAGAGCGCTGGCCAATTAGGTCATCTAAGGACTCACAGTCACGAAATGCACTGGCCCTATTTTGATGAGCTCATAGGTTGGGCTCCTCTAACCTCCTCTTCATTAGTGTTTAACTGTTTATGGGATCATTGTGGTGCTTTGAGGTGTTCTTTGGCACGCATTAATTGATATTTTTTCAAAGAGAGAGGCAGCGTCACTTCAGCGGAGGAGTTCTGTCAACACATAAGGAATATGACCTAGTTGTTTGTTCTTTGTTTCTTTCTGTGCATAACGTGAAAGGTTATGTGGTGCTTCAACCAGTCAGATCAGCAGACCTTAGTAGTCCACCTGGGGATCTTTTGTTAGTAATTTGCAGGACATCTGGCTATTGTTTACATGCTTGTTGTACCGAATAAACAGCTTAACATGTATCCGATTCAAAATTTTAAGCCAAATCATTTGCCAAGTAGTCATTAATGATGATTTTTTTTTATTTGATTAACCTGAGCTATGACTGATATGGTTTGTATACATGGTCATTTGGTTGATGTTAATCCTCATTATTTCGTCTGTCATATTCTGTCAGAGTTATGTGAGAAATAAAAATAAATGGCCTTTACGTAGTCTTATTTTCGTACATTTCCAAAATTAGAAAAAAACAACATTTTTTAAAAAGTTGAATAAACAAAGAAGTAAAAGGACTTTGCATAGAATTTCCTGGTGAACACATACATGATACAAAGGCATTAAAAAAGAGATAGATTGAATTTTGAAAAATTTTTTGGATGTTACCAGATGTGATTAGGTTGTACAAGTAGACTCGGACGTATTGATCTATCATGCTATAGATCTAGATTACAAACTGCACTTAAAGATAGCTTTCTTTAATATTATTTATCCAAGGGAGAGTTTTCATTACAGAAGTAAATATGATGGATAAAAGGGTAAAACAATAGTTTTTGTATCGTGTGGTTTTCATCCAAAATAATTCAATTCCCATACATTTATTGGTGATTTGTTACTGAATGGTCTGTCTTTTGTTCCAGGGAAACATTCAAAGTTGACAGTCTCCTTGAAAAAGTGGAAGCTAAGCAAAATCAAACAACACCTCACAAGTAAGTTACCGTACTACGTAATTTTACCATGTGTCTTGCACACTGCTTAGTTCTGTAGGTTTTTTGTAGAGATATAACCCACATACTGGGACTTGTGAACATTATGTTCAGCCTTCATATATTAGCAAATGAATAAGGCATGACACTGTTAAATCAATTTTTGATTTAAGGGATTACAACTGTTAGTGTGAGATTCATATTTCACAATGAAAACATTGTAAATTACTCATGAAATGTAATAAATTCCATTTTTACACCAAAACAGCGGTTATCGCAATTATTCTGGAATCTGTGTTTGCCATTGGACCACATGGACTTTCATCTCTTAAGAGATTAAATTAAAGAAAAAAAACTTTTTAGAAAAGAAATAATGGACTTACATTGAATGTCAGAATGGTATCCATTGGTAAGTATGGGAAAATCGTCGTTTACCCCAGGAAAATACATTTTTTGACCAAAACGAACAGTTGTTATTCTTTTAAATTTGTGCAGCATGTCATCAACAAAAATGTACTTACTAGTATATCTCAGGGTATCTTATTATTAGAAAAAAATGTATTTTCTCTCTCACTGACATTCTACATGTTTGGTCTGTCTAATACACCGTCACGTTGCATTAATCTCTCATGTGCATATTGTAATTTGCTTTCCAGTTATAAGACAGAATACATGAGTTTTACATTTACTGGGTTCTATGATAAACAAGGTGAGACAAGTTGTATAAATAATATATAATATGTATGTATTATAGTAAATATTTCATTTCTGCTCATGATATGCAGTTTCTGTTATTCCCATCTTCCACTTTAGAAATAATCATAATCATTAATGTGATAGAATTAGCATAATAATAATATTATGAAGATTTCTTAGAATTTGTCCAATTTGATATAGAATATTTTTGTTTGTCTTAAGTATAAGAAAAATGGGCTATAGCTATTTTAATGCTCGTTTGTTTTTATTATTTTCATGTTTTGCTCAAAGAATACAAACTTTTTTTCAGAAAACTTTGCCTCGGATACAGTAGATGTGGAAGCATTCCTAGTCAAAATATGCCATAAAAAGAGGAAGGTAATATTAATAGCTAAAGTAAATGATGACTTTCAGCATAATTTTACTGTTTATTGCCTCAAGAGTCACATTTTCAATGCAGATTATGTAAGATTAAGCGGTGGGTGTACTGAAGCATGATGCTCTATGTGCCATTTTGTCCAACTGTTGGTAAGTGTGTAATTGTATTTGATTTGGCAACATTTCATACATCTAGGCTCATGAGAGCAAGTGAAAAAATTAATTTCTTGATTTGCTTATTGCTATTGGACATGTTGGTAGGAATGGAGAAAGTGACGTTAAACTATTGCTGTGAATGTTGTGGTTGTGTTGCATTAGGCAGCATGTTAGTCATTTGATGTATGCCAGTATTGTGACTGTAATGTATGTCAGTATTGTATTGATATTGGTGGTATTGTGTTTGGTGTCACCATTGGGTGGTGCCTGAGATGTTATCAGAGACTGTAAACTATCTCATGTAAGGTGTGCATGTGTATGGCCACAGAATTGTGTTAGATGTGACAAGCTTCACATTCGCTGTCTTCTCCAGGATGTCTCCTCTCCAGTGATGCAGGTTAGCATAGGCACTGTCCAGGTGCCGGTCAATCCACACCAGCGGTCACCCAGCAAGGCCGCAGCAATATCAGTGGCTAGTGAGAAGTTTAATTACAACAATGGTCATGCTGTGAAGTCATACATGTTGCTGATTAAAGTGACAGTTAAAGGGTCTCATTCATGTAACGGCAGTGTTTCACATTCTCGTAAGTGTTTTTACTCCAAATTGATTAATTAATAATTGACTAATTAATTTTTTATTTTAAACAAAATTGGATTATTGATGTTATAGCAAAGAAGTCGGCTAAACATTTGGTTTAGCCTTCAAGACAGCTATATATTCATCCATTTCCTTTTTTTGCAAAAATAAATGACTAAATAAAGTTTTATGGAACTTAATTAAAGTTATAGCCAATGCATTTATAATTTGTATCAATATTCAAGCCTCCAGTGAACCTCCTACAAAGAGAAGAAAAAATGGGAAAGTTTCTGACATGGATGGAACAGAATTGATTTTTGGTGCAGAACTTGTTATATATGATAAACATAAACGGTGCTTGCTCACTGACGGTGACTATGAATTAGCATTAACTGATCTTACCTCAAGGATGTCTCCAAAGAAACAAGCTACATGGGAGACAGTTATGGATGGGAAGGTAAAACTGCATGTCTAACTATAACAGTGATTTTGTGTAACAATTCATTGGTTCTGGTCTAAAATGTGTTAACAGCTATACATATACGGTACAGATTGCTAACATGTAGCAGTTTAGTGTATATTCTCTAGTAGAATATCTGATTTGAGTGTTCTTTCCCAAGAGATGAAAAATTGTTATAAAACGAGAGGATGCAAAGTAAAGATGTGAAAAACTAAAATTATTTCTCAAAATTACCATGTAGTCTAGATATATATATATTTGTATTGTAAATTTTCCTAATTTTTCCCTTTCTTTTTTTTTTTTTTTTTTCTTTTTTTTTAGCTGAGACTTTAAGCCAATTTGTTATAGAACAAAATAATGGAAAGTGTACATTATTAAATCTAAAGGTTAGGATTTTTGGATGTTTCCAGGCAGTGGGACCATTTGAAGTGTTCAGTATCTGTCCAACACTCAAATTTAAACTGTTGTGGAGCGAGGCCCCAGTTAACGGACCGGTCAGCCCTCCTTCTCCACTGGTGTCAGACTCTGAATTCCTCCACAACAATCAATACAATGATGCTATTGACAACAGAAGTAAGTGCCAGGTGAAATACTGTGATCTGGAGATTTGGATTGTTTTACTGAAAACTTTTGCCTATTCAGTAGGCTTAGAAAATACATCCAGTTCAATCATTATGAGTCCAACTCATCAATTTGTAAGGTGCATGTATTTCTTAATACTTTATCCTAATGATTATTTGAAATGTAGGCCAGGTGGTTTAATGTTGTAATAGGGTAGCTGTGTAAACGTTTACAAACGTGAAAATGTTTGAGAAGTGTCCACCATACAGCTTTTAGATATGTTGATGCTCCCCATATTGTTTCACGAGTTCTTATTTTCTAGTTACCTCAAGAGAGTCGAGTCCAGAAAAGAAGACGAAGAATGGCCTCCTTCCTCCAGCCAAGAAGAAAACGAGGATATTTTATCAATTTTTATACAACAACAACACGAGGCAGCAAACGGAAGCTCACGATGACCTGCGCTGCCCCTGGTGCTCAATCAACTGTTTGCAGCTTTACTGCCTTCTACGACATCTCCGTCTGTGTCATGCAAGGTTTAACTTTGTGTTTGTGGTAAGTGGTGGCGCTGTCATCAGTTTTTGACGTCAGGCACTGTAAGGTTTCAAGTAGCTCTTCTGTGGGTGGATTGGTGAATACCACACTCTCATGAAAAATGGCGATTAGATTAGGAATGGCCCCAATTTCTGAGTTAAAATATCAGATATATGTGACATTCAAAATGTATTCCAATCGAAAAATTCTTTAACGGAGGAGAGGAGATTTGTACTAACCTCTTTGTTTAAGAAGACGATTTATTCTGTTAAATTGATGTTAACTGGACTAAATCTCGCAAATACACAATCAATCATGAAGGAAGGAACAAACCCCCATATTCATGCAATTTAAAACATGACTATTCAAAAATAAAAAAAAGTCAAGCCCTGAAAATATTGAATATGAAACTTCAGCTGATCATGTGAATGTTGAAAGTCATATAGTCAGTGGTTTTTGCCTTCATGGTATGGTTTCATCTGTCACATCTGTGCCTTGGGTAATAAAAGCAAACAAATTATTTCAGCATCATCCGAAAGGTGCACAGATCAACGTCTCAATCAATGAAGGTTATGATGGCTCCTACCTTGGTAATCCTCAGGACCTCCACTCACATATAGGTTACGCCTTTTGTAGACAGGGACCAGTACGGAGAACGCCTGTGACACAGGTCTTAGTGTACCGGTAAGTTATTAACTCACAAGTTTAACGTACTGATAAGTTAATAGTGCATATGTTACTGTTAAATTCATGCAAAGACCAATGGACTTACCAGATTAAAGAAGTGTAATAGAAGATGTGGAGACATGCAGTACAACTGTATAAGACAGAAGTAAATGGCTCACCTAAAGACATCTAGTTAGTAAACAATGCACACCCAAACTCTTACTTTCTCATAAATTCACAAATTATATATTTAAGTAATTCACAAAGAGGGAATTTAAAAAAATTTAATTAGTAATAAGGAAGGTTAAACTTGATAGCAAGTATGTGTAGATTACCATACCTCTTCCTTAGATAATTTCTCAGGATTTTTTAAAAGAAGACCTGGATAACCAAATCTCTCTGTAATCAATTGTTTATTTAGTAGCCATATTTTAAACTATATAGCAGTGTTATACTCTACTCTGCAAATAAATTAATTATTTAGAATTTTTTACCTGATTGATTGATGTTGACTTCCATGGACATTCTACATATTTCTTAAGCCTAGATTACATTTGCACGTTTACTGCCTGTAATACTCTTTTTGTACGGCGTCTGAGCAGAGGTAGACCGTGGCCATGCAAAATTGCATGGAATCGTGTGAATTCCATGTAATGTAGATATACTCGGCCCGTAGCTACTTACTTTTTCAAAAAAACGTACGGTCAATTTCATCACACGGTTCCCATTTAAATGTGATCTAGGCTTTAGCATGCATTTTTTGTTAACAGTAAAACAATTCCATGTAATGCATACTTCACTGCGGTTTTACTGTTTGGTTTTATTGGTCACATCTTGTGTTTCCAAGTTAATGCAGTCTGTCATCTTACTCTTTTCATTATTATTACTCTGTAAAAAAATTGGCAAGATGACAAGGTTTATACCTATCATCTTAAACTTGAATGACCGCATGATATAAATCTTAGGCTGAAATGTAACAGGATAGAGGATTAAAATTAATTACTTATACAGTGCTTGATACTACTTAACTTGGTTTCGTATGTGAGGTGAGTTTACATGTAAGATTTTGTGTCATATATAACTGTTCTTATGTGCACAGATATAAAATCTGCCACCTCTGATATCATGGGGATTTGATTAGTTGAGGATTGTTGGTAGAAATGATGTAACTGATATTCTTGTTTATCATACCTTGGTGGTTTTGCTTTAGACCGACCAGACCAAAGTTCAGCCTTCTAGAATTCATGGAAAGTGAAGAAAGTGATCCTCACAATACAAGGCAGCTAGCACAAGGTCACAACAGGTAATGTCGTATCATAGACTGGGTTCCCATGCCTAGATCAATCCATCTGGATCAGTCTAACTCCCTGGGGAGTCTCACTAAATTGCTATCTACTCAACCAGCTTAAATGTCTGTCACGCCAACTGAATCAGCTAGGAGGTAAAGATAATAGGAACACGCTAACTAAGCAGTGGCCACTGGGTAGATGATTTCAGACATTGACCTTAATGACCCTTCTCTTTTCCTGCAGACTGTATTACCATACAGGGACATGTCAGCCCGTCCGTCCACAGGAGATAGACGAAGACAGTGAATCTGAGAATGATCCCATGTGGTTGAGGGAAAAAACCATTCAGGTGAGAATTGAAACAAAGGCATTCAAACCAGTGGGCCATTTAGTCAGCGGGTCAAATATGGCGACCCACTAAAAGGCTTGGGGAACTATTTAAGTGGGTTGGCCATATATTTGACCCTCGGGGACTAGTTGATTAGAACTGTTCTGAATGCGACCATATAGTAGGCTGACTGGCATATTGATGATGCCCTCTATTTTCTATCACTATTAAGGTAAAGACGCACACACAAAAAATAGTGTTTAGATCTTTCATTAACCAGTTTTCTAATGGCCAAACTTTGTTGCTGAGTGGCAAAAATGGCCACTTGTCATTGAGTTGCTGAAAATTACAGTATTTTTCCATGTGAAGGTAGATGATGAGGCCTTCCAGCCAAGGACGTTCTAAGTTTTGAAATTAAGAATACTGTGTGTTTTCAGGATTTATATTAATGTACAACATTGATACTTTACTGTTCAATATTAGTATTGATAACTTTGTTTCAGATGTTGGATGAGTTCACAGATGTTAATGAAGGAGAAAAAGAAATAATGAAGATGTGGAATATACACGTGATGAGAAATAAGTAAGTGAATATCCGTAGTATTCCAGCATTATTTTAGGATACAAGTTCTAAAGTTTGCTACTCAGATCTGCCCATAGTACCTCACAACTTGCCTTCGAATATCTTTTCAGCTATATAGCAGACTGCCAGTTCACCACAGCCTGTCAGACATTTGTAGCAGAGCATGGTGTTACCATTGTGGAGAAGAATCTGTGTAGGAACTTCCTTCTCCACATGATCAACTTGTATGACTTTGGTCTCATCAAGCCCGAAATCATCACACAAACCATGATGAGCATTAACAGAATAAAAGATGAGATTACATCTTAGCAGTGCTATGGAAGGCTTCACCTGGGGCACACCCAATGCAGTGTCTAACCAGATGTCACACCCAACACATTCACACCTAACACAATGCGATCTCTACCAGGAGACAATATGGGATGGAATTGTTAAAATTTAGTGCTATGTCAGTCTTCTCTTATAAATTGATAATGGTGCATATAGGTAGAGTTAGAATTGTTAGAAGACCTTTGTGGTAGGTGTGGCATTGTTTTCCGAGTGTGAGCTTTCAGCACATTCCTACCTGAACAACCAAAATTATGCAAGAGAATTCAGGGACACCATTTGCTTGATGGAAAACTGAGAGTTACTAGTTTCATCTGTGGGTGTACTGTATCGGAATTGCTGCTGTCTGTTGGCAGACTGAAAACTTTTGCCATTCGAGAAACTTAGCAGAATTTGACAGTGGACTGTGTGAAGTAGTTAAGCTTTATTAATTAGGGTCTAAAGGGAATATTTTATTAGGGAATGTTGTCAACATAAGGCATCTTCATGAGAAAAAGAAAATAATCAGGATATACCTTCCATTTGATGCAATAAGCTGGTCATAACCCTATAAAGTCTTGCTGCAATGAAATTGTAGCAATGAAATCTTCAATAATCGATTTAACTAGTTTAAACTAGCAAAAAGTAATTGAATTTGACATGTTGCATGCCTGGTATATTGTGTTTTTTTGCACCCAGGACTTTTTACTGTTATTAATGTTTGCACATTTAGAGCAAACTTGACAGAGCAGGATAGATCACTTTGCTAATTAGCATAAATGTTTGCTCACACAAAACTCATTTTGTTATTAGCTCAATGGGTGTGATATCCAGCCATATCCACAAAAACCAGCAAAGAATTGACAAAAATTAACTGTTTTTTTTTTCTTCATTTCATTTCCTTTTAATGTCCAATGTAGCTTGATGTATGTATTTGTATGGGCGTGTCAGACTGTATATACAATTTAAGGTGGGGCCCCTGTTAAGCATATGCATAAAAAGAAGCCAATAGAAACTTGTCTCATTTCTAATTTTCAAAAAATATTTGCGATTTTTTAAAAACTTTCGTAACTGGGCTATTTTTGGACAGGACAAATGTAGTATTTTTGTGTCAAAGTGGAATACTTGTGGGAAAATGTTTAAAAAATGCATTTCTAGCATTTTGCTTGGAGGGCCAAAAGATAAAGGCCAAATAGAATATGTGGTATGATATTCTATTAGACAAGTGGAGTGTACAGTTAGGTACAGCAGTGTAAGATAAATAGAATTTCCAGAATTATTTGTATTGGGTTACATGTGCTGAATTGTTGTGAAAGTGTTAATGTTACAAAATGTCGTGTTGTTAACTTGGTTGCAATATATTTATACCTCATAGAAATAACACAAGGGGCCTTAGATGAGAACAATGATAAAGGTAATTGTAATAGAACCTCAAGATGAGCTTTGTACCAGCAGACAGTGACCGGTAAAATTAACTTTGTAGGTCATGACTTCTTGTTAATTTGTTCTGAGTAACCCGCTTCAAAAACAGGTGAATTTAGCAAACGGCTAGTTGGTGACAATCTTTAGTTAACAGTAACTTTGCAAAACCAGAGTGACGTGACAGAGGCCCATTCAGAATATGGCACTAACTAGTCTGAGGGTCAAATATGGCGACCCATTCCAAAGCTTGCTGTTTAATCCACAAATAGGCACTGAATACATATCCCGTGGAAAGTATTCAAGTGGGTCGGCCATATTTGACCCTTGGACTAGTTGGTCCCCTATTCTGAATGGGCCTAGAGTCCCCCCCCATTAAAGAGAGTCCGTTTCTTGTTAATTTGCACAGGTAAGCCTCGTCATAGTTTGATCCACTTACGTCAGGCTAACCCTAACCTGTATAATTAAATGAAGGCTGGACTCTCTGTTACGAGGACCCACAGTTTCGTCACACCGGTCCTTGCTCTTCTGTGAACAGTCTCACTCTGCTGTGGACAAAGTGGGTATGTCTGTATTGTGTTAGGTGTGACACCATTGTGTTATTTTANTCGTTAATTTGCACAGGTAATCCTCGTCATAGTTTGATCCACTTACGTCAGGCTAACCCTAACCTGTATAATTAAATGAAGGCTGGACTCTCTGTTACGAGGACCCACAGTTTCGTCACACCGGTCCTTGCTCTTCTGTGAACAGTCTCACTCTGCTGTGGACAAAGTGGGTATGTCTGTATTGTGTTAGGTGTGACACCATTGTGTTATTTTAAGATGTGAATGCAAGTAATCTCTTCTCCATGACGATGCAACTCCAACGCGGCCATTTTGATTATTTGTAATCGGCAGGTAAATATTTCTGAAACAAAAATATTCCAGCAACCCACTGCCATTTCTGTATCAATTGTACAGTGTTTGTTATATATTTTTATTGAAATAAAGTTCGGATTTTGCAAAAAAAAAATCAATCTCAAAATGTTGTTTGTATTCATTTATTTTACCACATTCTGACGTATGTACCGAAACTAAAGTGAGTATTAGGCGAAATAATTATTAGTAGACTCCTCTCACAGGATATCCTTGGTGTCTATAAGTTAAAATACGGTAATGATTCGATCTTTCAATGAAAATTATGAATTTTACGGATTCTGTATAAAAGTCATTTATTCTTAAGATTAGAACATTCCTATTTAGTGGTAGCAACAAAATTGAAAGGCAGTCCTCCTAATAGTTCTATTCCATACATCTGAAGCATCAGAAATGCTACGTAGAAGTATATTTTTAATGATTAGCATTTTGTGTGTCTGAAAGATCGATAACTTTCCCCATGGAAAAATCATTACCGTGACATTTTTTGCTTGCTTTTGTTTTACAAGGCTACTTCACCATGAAAACCTCCGCCACTCCCTGAACAAGAAGGTTGAAGGAAGTAACCTGAGTGGTGGGTGAATCTTGACAATTTGTCATTTTTAGTATGTTTAGACCTGAAGTACACTCGATTATACGTCCATGGAGTACGTGTAACTGTATATCTTAGATTTCTTCGTTCTTAGAAACCTGTGTTTCATGGGCCTGATTTTATGCATATGTTAACAAGTTTTATATTCACTTGTTTCTTTGTGAAGCTTCAATCTGTTGGTTGCCATGGTATTATTATAAAAAATATTATTATTGGTATTCTTTTCTTGATTATTACAGAGAGCGCAACAGCAGAAGGCACCAACAGCTTGTTCGAAGCTCCTGATATTCCCATTTTTTATAATACTTAGTTTAAAGGGTCTATGTATTTATCCAACTCTTCGTGGGTTGCTAAATTATTTAATAAATGCATAGAGTACTGGAGGCTCGGCCTTCTCAATTGGCTCTTAGTGCAGTGGGGGGTGTTGGGGGGGGGGGGGAGTCACGCCAATGGTTCCCTCTTGAAATTAGAATTTTGACTAGCTGAACCATAGTTCTAAACCGTACCAAATAGCACCGTTCTCCTCTCTAAATTACCAAAAATTTTCGGGACCCGCTGAAGGGCCCGAACCCCACGCCAAAGGGGGGGGGGGGGGAAGAGGGAGGTCGGCTTCGCATCCGCGGACACCCACACCTCCCACCCCCCCTTCAAATAATCCTGGATCCGCCCCTGTACTTTTAGATTAATGTTTGTCAGGACACTATTTTAACATCTCATGTAAGCAAAAAGAATGTTTCTTTTGACCATCTTGTGTTTTAAAATCATAATATTGAGGTTGGGGTAATGTTGGCCGATATATTGAAGTACAGCGGGCCTGACAAAGCTTAGCATAAACGGCTGAATAGAGAAACAATGTGCACGACAAGTATTTCATTGCGTAATGATGAGACGGCTATTGATCTTTAGTTATGGTAGACTAATTCCGATCAATGGGCTATATAGCTCATTGAATCGCATTGACCACCGTTATGACGCTAATTCATACGTAGTTGTGCTGATAGTTATTTAGTCTTTTAAATAATTAACTATGTGAATTATGTAATCAAATCGGTAGTGTCGATGTAATCATAAAGATATCTACCCCCTTCGGCGATATTTTTCTATACTACGTCGATAAATGCCAATGTTACTTGTGTTCATTTCCAGTTGTTTTTTTTAAACAAATTAAAAGCAGCAACAGGCTGTAGCGACTAGGAAAAAAGAAAGAAAAGAAAGCCTGCGAGTAACTGAACTGAACCGGTTTGTTTCGGTTGTTATGATGTAGACAATGCAGATAGACGAAATTTTTTCTTACCGTAACGTGTTTCCAGATAATACAACTAGAATACAATAGTTATGTACAAAAAGAGAAAAGAAAAAGAAAAGAAAGCCAGTTATCCTGTGAGTAACTGAATTGAACGCCGGTTCGTTACGGCTGTTTTACTGTAGATAGTTTTTTTTATTATCATAACGTGTTTCCAGATAATACAACGAAAATACAATAACTTTATACAAAAAAGAACAACCAGTCACAAATGGCTTACATGTCACACAGACAGGTGAATTTTACTTAAAATGAATTGCGCTAAATTTTTTTTTTACTTATTTGCAAGGCACTGAAGATAGATTTAACATTGAAATTAACGAGATGTTTGTCATTCATCAGCAGTTAATTTAATTTTTTCCGCACTAGGTATGCCCCAGTCTTAGGTCAAATTCATTTTTACATGTTAAAGAAAAGTGCAATACATTTTCAACTAAACACCATTTCCTGCGTCAATTTTCTGCTACATTAATCACTTCATGCAAATAAATTTCAGAAACACAGTCATCAGCGTTTAGAAATTTATATACTAGAGTATTATCACAGTTTACTACAAGAATCGAGACTTTTGATTTCAAATCTAAGGTCATTTAGGTAAATGGACAACAGAGTCGGTGAAAAAACATCACCCCGTCGAATTCCAAGCTGAGGAGCCGTTCTAGGCATAGACATTTCCTTTGCTCAACTGACAGGACCAAGTTAGGACATTATCATTCATAGTGGTCACCCGACATTAATTTTAAAAGGTTAAATGCGTGTAACTTTTATAAGTAAAGCCTTACAAAGGCAGGCGTGACGTATTTATCGCCCAGGCTAGGTAAAAGTTCGTGGATTATATTCTGGTCATGATCAAATAACCATGACCATTGTTGTAATCGTTTTGACCCGAAGTGTTGTCTCCGGCGTTGTACGAGCCCCCTCCTCCACCGCACGAATCTCCGTAATTATCTCCACTAGCTCCACCCGAGTAACCGCCTCCGCCCCCCGCCCCTCCGCCGTTGCCATATGCCCCTGCCCCACCACCGAATCCTCCCCAGGCATTGTGTGATTTCGGTCTGCCACCAGTGCCTCCGTTAACAAAAGCGAATCCACCTTCACCGCCCGTGCCGTACGATCCCCCAAACTGACTGCTACTGCGCCCGTTGGTCAGCAGGCCACCGCCGCCACCCCCTGAATTACTGGTGTCCGCAGTTGAAGCTCCCTCTCCGTTTGAACCGCCAGGCCAAGTTGTACCGCCGCTGTGGCCGCTGTTTCCAGTAGTGCTTGTAGTGCCACCACACGTTGCTCGCCGAGTTGAAGCTCCTTCAATACCTCCCCCGCCGCCAGCTATGATGATAGGCGTGTTGTCAGCGTACGTCAAGAATGTGCCGCCACCACCACCGCAGGAGGAATAGGAATTCTCACCGCCCATTTGTCCTACTAGAATCTTCAGTTGGTCACCTGTAAAATAGCCGTTGGTCAAGAATTAGTGATAGTAATGCAGACTGGGATGACTACTCGCTGCTGGGTGTGAACGAAGACTAACCTAAAAGATTTATTTGCATATAATTCGTGATGCCTGCATATATGCACAGACATGCCCAAATACACTTTTCCATACCGTGCATGCACACACAAACGCACGCGCACATTTAGGCCTACCTGCATTAAGCGTAAAGTCTCCAACTACATACGCGCCGTAGCCTCGGTTTGTACACCCACTATTGTCACACCCGCCAGCGGCACCTAAAAATAAGCACATGGCAATCGTATCGTTGGAAAAATCATTTAACCTTGCATAAATACTAGATTTTATTTTACCAGACCATGGAAGTTTAGGATAAACTTACATGACCAGACGGAGGAAAAATGCTCCTCCGACATATAAAGACAAAAGTCCCGTTTAACATCAGCACCGTCGCAAGAGACTCATAACTTCTACCAAAAAGTAAATTTTACGCCTAAGTAGTAAGAAGTCTGTGTCGTCCACTTACCTGCAGCCTCTATTCTGTATGTGCCACCGGCAGGCATGGTTATGGACTGGATGCCGTTGGTCACTGTCACCAGTCCCTGAAGGTCTGTACCGTCATAGTGAGAGCCCACAGAAGTAGGTCCATCCCTTCCCGTGGCGCCAAGGTTTGTGAATGTCCCACCTCCGAACGCTACAGGATAAAGAAGGATACAATATGACACCACTTTTGATGGCACGCTTTGTAGCGGGATGTTCCCACGCTTCAGATTGAAATCAAGTATTGATATTAAGTAATAGCCGTTGATGTCTTTTTCCTAAAAGTCCTAAAAAACAATATTATCTCACAATGAACAGGTACCTGAATAGTAGTTTTAAAATGCCTAAGAGGTAAACCTTAACATATTTTGAGTGCATTATCATTTATGAAAATGACCCTGCATAACTCCGACACTATAGGACAGAAAATATGTTCAAATAAGGTAATAGTCGTAAGCAACAGCTAATACCAAAAGGAAAAAGCTGATCATTAATGCGGAGTTTACTGTATTTCTGAATTAGATTCAGAAAAACCTTTTTTCGATTTCTACGTATTCCGATTGAAAAATTCAGTATTTGAGATTTTCAAATTCTCTGTCTATTAGCAGTCGTACTGGTCTACATAAATTAAAATTTTAAAAAATTCCCGTATTCTGACCGAAAAGAATTTGATCTAACGATGATAAGAGAAGATATTAACAGTTGTAGGCGTGAGATAATTCACTGCTACCCGGGCGATATATGCCAGAACCCCTCAAGCGTCAGCCAGAGGGTGGCAGTGTATTATTAAACGTACACACTCAGAGAAAGTACTCGTGTTTCACCCCAATATCACCCCTAAAGCCGAGTATTTAAAGCGTACGTAGCCACGGTCACATAACATCTGTAAGCATATGTATAAGGAAATAACGTACGTGTTATGCAGGAAAACCCGTCTGAATCCAACAACAGGCCGCTGCTGCACTCGCATCTGTAACTGCCGGCGGTGTTGACACATGTTTCTTGACACTGGTGGGTGCCGTCCACACACTCGTCTTTATCTATAATGACATCAACATATTGAATAATATATAAGATCATTAACCGAAAATAAATGTAACACAATCATATATCGCAGTAGATAGTATAATGTATGATACTCGTTTGAAAAACAACCAAAAAGTGAACCGTCACAGAATTAGTTCTTAATATTCAGACCA